ATTGTAGTGAAGTGATAGTGAAGGGATTGGTTGCAAAATCTCTAATATTGGCAGAGTATTTCGCTGAAAATGTTAGCGATTCAACCGACGCTATTTTACCGTTTTAGGGGTCAAATATGCAGTTTTAGCAAAGCACCGGAAACGGCATATTTACCACACGACGGCAAAATACAGCAGCCATCATAAAGCACAAAGCATCATATTTCCACCAATAAAACGCATGTATTTGAGCACGGACATTTCCTTACCAATACTGACACTTTGCTGGAATGGCTGTCAACGGGCGGGGTGAGAACTTCACCTCTGACGAGGAGTTCGTTCGTGGTTGAACATATCCCAAGAAGAGTCTAAGGAGAGCGGGCATAAAGCCGAGAAGTTTTGGGCCCGCGTGGAGGCGAACTATTGCACCTATTGCGAGCCGGACTGCCATCGCACAGCAGGACTTCTCAAAAAATAATCTATTTACAGAATATATTTTTTATTCCAACGAAAAATAGATTATTTTGAGACACAACCAAAATAGATAAGTTCCCATGATCAGAAAAAATAGATAACTTAACTATGACGGCAAAATAAATAACTTCTCCGAATGACAGGATAATTCTCAATAATTGACAGGGTTCAGTGCGGCCGTAGCCTTGGTCGCGTTGTCGATCACTGCTGCGGTCGCGGTTTTTGCCACGGCTGTTGCCACGATTGTTGTTTCACCCGCCATTTCCAGGACCATTAGAGGATCTTGGTCACCATCCATGACGGTTATTAGAGCCATGGTTGCCACTAGGCCAATCGCGATCATCGCGGTCATCACGAGGACGTTGGATAGGACGAGACGGAGCAACATAATCGCGTTTGCGCTACTTTTGGGAAGCAGAGCCATGCTTGTCAATGATAGTGCGATCAACGCCAGGACGTATAGTGTTGCGGGCATAGTCCGACTTGAGGATGGGGCACGCAGGAAGCGGTAGTGTTGCGGGCATAGTCTGAATTGAGGGTGGGGCACGCAGGAAGCGGTAATTGGTAATTGGTAACGCCACAGTAGAAGCAGGACTTGCTGGGGTGCTTGATACAATCACGGTGGGCATAGCAACGGATAGTAAAGGCGTTTATAACATGAACAGAGCCATCGGTTTGCGAAATTGCTTAAGGTGGTGGCGCAGGGGACGCAACGGCATGCGTGCCAGCTGCAAGCTCGGTTTGCGTTTTAAGGGTTGCGGCAGCACCGGTTGTCACCCAGATCAGAAGCTCGTTGCAGGCGATTCGAAATAATATACCGAAGAGAGGCCCAAACGTCAGCAACGACAACAAACTGGTTGGCGGTGCGCGCGGTGGCCATTGAGTTCGTCACAACTTTTCACTAGAAACGAGTTTAAATATCCTCAAAGAACTCAAATGGACTCGTAGTGGCCTGATAGAGGCGGCGGGGGTTGGTAGAAATGGCTGAAACCAAGAAGGTGTGCGCCGCAGAGCGTTGATTCGCCAGTTTCTTGATCGCCTCACGGGCAATTACCTCACGTTGGATGGCGGTCGTGCGCGCCTTGATTTCCGCGAGACGCGAATTACGATCGGTCTCCGACAGAGTCGGGTCGACAACATGAAGCTCGGAGTGTTCGACTTGATCTAGTTGAAGGTACATCTTGCTGATGTTGAGCGCATCGATGCGATTGCTATGATGGACATAGTCCGGCGTAGAGTAGAACTCAGCAAGATCATGGGAGGTCGCTTGGGACAAGAACTCCGTCGTCCACAAGGTGTAGGCCAGAGGCCGGAGGTCGTCGAGTGGGGTGCCCACGACGGTCTACACAGAGGATTGGGGAGGAGGCTCATAACCTGTCAAGAGGGACGATGTAGGGGGTAGCACTGAGGAGGAACGACGACGAAAAACACTTGTGTGGTCGATGACAAAACCAAAAGTGATCATTAACGGACTGTTTTAGCTGACCTATGATTGGGCATAAACAGTCCGGCTTCTACAGAGAGAGAACACCGGATAATTCCGGATGACCGGATATTATCCGTAAGTGACCGAACCTCGGCGAAAAAGGCCAAAGCAAGAACGGCCACAAAGTGCCCCCCTTCTTGACACGCCCCACATCGTACAGTATTGAAGCCCCTTTCACCTTGAATCATTCTATCCAATCACATTGTCGAACAATGGTTTTTCTAAAATCTCTTCAACTTTAAACGCGGTGACATGTCAACCCTCCTGAAACTCGCGCATGTAAATTGGATCGAAGGGAGTACTACAGGGAACGACGCTGAGTAACGGCGCGGGAATAAATTTTCAAATCAGCCAATAATAATCATGGATATCGTTACCTCGACAATGATTGGCGGAATTTTTCCCGGCACAATTTAAACAGCTTTCCACCCCACTACTTAATAACCTTGAATGTCAGTGCAACCTGCAGCCACAGTGCTGCCAACGAAGCCTCGACACCGACCGACTCTCACCCAAAAGATCGATGTCGTACGCTTAGCTGAACGCACGACTGTTCGACACGCAGCGGTAACGGCCGGCTACAGTGAGAGCAGTGTACGCGAGTGGATCCGAGACAAGCCGTCGCTGCTCGGCTTTCAAGGGTCAAAGACACGGAAGAAGAACGCACGTCCCACTGGAGCCAAGCCCATCATTCCAGACAGCGCTGACCTCGTCACGTACCTCAAAGACCTTCGCCGGGAGGAGAAAGCAGTGACATCATCGCACATGATGCAGTTCCTTCGCGCGGGTCACATGGCCTGGATTCAAGACTATATGGCGACCCGAGCGTCCGGCTACAACTCGCTGCTGCGCCTGCTTCAAAAGTTTGCTGACCGACACGGCTTTTCCAAGCAACGAGTGTGTCGCCAGAAGAAAACTCAGCAAGACCTGGAGGAGACAAGACTTGCTTTCGGT